TTTTGCCGGGAGCATATTACTTAAAACGTTATACCAATCTGGTAATAGTTGTTAATATATTGAATTCAGATTACCATTTAAACTATTTGGCCCTCGAAGTGCAGAAACCTCAGCTACACAGGATGCTTAATACAAGCTATTAGTTCTCGGGAATAAAGTAGGCGCCGGGGGGACAAAACAAAAAGTTCAAGCATCATTCGATAGTAAATCTGTTAGCCTTATGGCTGTTGGATTAATATGTAACTTCTGTCCAACGTACAAAACAACAGAATGGGTAAATGAAATAAAAAAGCAGTATTTAACCAAAAGACTTTCTTCTTTAACCCAAGATACTTGAAATTTATTGCGTTAACCTTCTTTTTGAGTTAAGAAATGAAATAAATTACTTCTTGAGGGGAGTATTTTTTCTGCAAGCCCCCTTTTTTGTTCAGAATTCGTACTTAATGAAAGGTCATAGCATATCCTTTCCCAAATATTACAATAAAGGTCTTATTTGAATAAATATTATTACAAATAATGTACATAACACATCAGAAAATTATTTTCATCTGAGTTCTTGCAATGGTTTTCTTTTAACCTTTACGATAGAACTTAGAGAAAGAACAACTAAAAAGATGAAATAGATTTTAAATAATCAGAGATGATTAGACAAAGTCTGGCTAGAATTTCTTTTAAAATTTGGAATTACTTATTTAGATTTAAATCACGTAAAAAGTGCATATATTTTCTAGACCTCGGTGTTACTGATCATCATCCGGGCCAAAAGATGGCCTTATGGGTAGATGAAGTACTGCGTCTGCCTCGTGTCATGGCTTAGATACCTTTATACTTTCTTCTTATTATTATTCTTTTTCTTCTTCTTCTTCTTCTCTCTCTTTCTCTCTCTCTCTCTCTCTCTCTCTCTCTCTCTCTCTCTCTCTCTGAACTTAACACGGGTTTTGCAATTGTATGAATAGCATGTATCCTGTTATTGTTTCAAGCATTTAAATTGGTGAGGGTTGAAAATATCGAAATACTAAATCTCGCAGGGAGACCATATTAAAGTACAGAAAACAGACACATTATTTTATGTTGACCGTTTGGAAAAAGATTAAAGAGGGGGAATGTGTTTGTATACCATGGTTTAAAAAATGGAAGATAAAGGATTACAAGATAATCATCAGAAAAAAACATCAACAAACCATTTTTGGAAAGAGTTACACATCCAACACACATTGTCTACTTAAATTTAGTGTAGATCATTGAAAAGATAAAAGAAAAAATAGTTTTGATATGGTTGGTCAGATTTTGCATAGAAATACATAAGATTCTCGAAAAACACTCACAGCAAATAAGGAACTGTTTAAAATGTGTTAGTTGCGCGTTGCCTAGATAAAAATGATATCCTCTAACTCACCTGAGACCAAGTGATTCCTAAAGGGACTGGCGCTATGGTATACAGTGGGTGGTGTTTAATTAGAGTAATGACTGTTGCAAAATAAATTTAGTAAGCATTCTAAAGCATCCACATAACTGTAACTGATTTAAAACGTGGGAGATAAATGGGTCTAAAACTGAGCTTCTTCACAAAATTTTTGAACAACCCATTTCTTCTCTTTATCTACATTATGAGTGACTTGTTCGCGAATCGATATAACATCAAATAATTCGAATATTTCACGCTTAAATAAAAAAGGAGGAAGTTCCGTTAATTTTTTCGCAAAATTCCGAAAAAAAAAAGCGACCACGCATGTATTCATCTAGGGTGTTTTCCCTACCACACTTTAACGTGACTTTTAAACCATTCTTATAATAGCCCAATTACCACCTACAAATGATGCTGAAAATATAAAAGCGCTATTTTGATCTACATCGTAGCTGTCGTCTAATGCGTCAAGAGGCCGTAAGAAGAGAAGGAGATGGTTATTTTAAAAACATTGATTTATCGCCCATGCATATTGTCGAAGTTTCAAACCTTCTCTTTTTTATCACATGATGAGCTGTCATAACTAGAATATTTCATTCTCAACTCCTTGTATCCAACAAAATTTGACACATCAGCCACTTTTTTGAAGAAAAAAAAAGAAGAGATCGACAGTTGACTAGTGCCTTATAGAGTCAAGATGCAGATTGTACTGGTATATCATGAAACAATCCAGAACATTAGAACCAAGTGGGTGTATTTGTGTAATGGGTAGAGCTCATAAATAACAATATTTTTGTACATGACAAACGCGCACATGTATCTTATATATGAAGCTTGAATTCATCTTTTATTCCCTTTAAGACACATCACGTAAGAAAACACCTTCTCTTTCGCTGTACCTTTGACGTAAAACGTGTCTATCAACTTCAGAAAAAAAAATTCTTGTAACGTGTAACAAACTACCAGAAAAGAACAAAAAGATAACAGATCACGACATGCCTCACGGTGTGCAGTACAGGATATTGCTAATTCTATTTTTGCGCATTCCTCGCTTTTTTTAATCACCAGTCTCCAGTTTCTTTCTTGGTTTTTAAGTGGAAATGTTTTGCGCGAATAAGCACAAAGCCTTTGGAGTAAACTGCTGTTTCGTTGACGATCAGGCAATAACTTTCAATTACGTCAATGAGGCCCAACACGTAACTTTTTTCGATTGTAGAATTTTTTATCAAACTAATCCCCGTTAATCTTGTCCGACTTAAAAGGTTAAATAAAATAAAGAAACATGATAGCTTAATTTGATTTTCATGTACGTTATATCGATTTTAGAATACTCTGTTTAACAATCTTTTTTCCTTTTATCTAGATTTAAACTTCAAGTCAAGTTGCAAAATTATTCTGATTACTAAAGGTTCTGGACAAGTATTTTCCACGAGCGAGCTTACAGGCATGAGAGGCGATCTTCTATATCTAAGACCCACCTACCAGCGTGACGTAGTCCAAGTATGTATTTATGAAAGTATGTTTTTGTGTTATATTAGAGTACAGATAGCCGATTTTGGTCCTGATTCTCAAGTTTATTTGTTATCAATTAGAATTACATGCCACATTTAAAAAAACTGAGCTGCTTGTGAAAGCGAGACTTGGAATAAGGACAGACGTCATTCTTTTTCTTTTTCCTTTTTTTTTTTTTTGACCGAAAAAGTCTTAAAAATTAATTTGAAAACAAACACACATTTAAGTGCAGTGCTCACCACAAGTACCTTTCTTCAGTACTGAAGGTCCAAACATCAAAGAATGCAAATGCGTTTATAAAATTTAACACTACAAAATGTTTACACACTATTCTTGATAAAAAAAGTTCTTTATACGTTATGCGAACATTTTTACTTTGAAAATAACACGCTAACAGTTATCCACTGGTGTTAGATATGGTGTTTTAAATAACCTGAAATATAAAGTAGGATGCATTTAAAAATCGAAAACACCTTTCACGATTTATTATCCCTGACCTTTGCCGTGATCTTGGATCAATTTCCTTGCTATGTATTTCTTTCATAATCTTATCTACTGTACTTTTTTCACATAAGCCGAGGTCAAATTTCGCAGAATGACCCAAATGAAGGCAATAACAACAGAGAGTTCAGTGAAAGGTGTTTTTATAATAACCATAATTCACGTCACTTTTTGTTTTCCATTTCAATGCGATCGTGATTTTCGATCGATCGTTTTCTTGTTGACTCTGTCCGATACTCTCTGATTTTCGCTTTAACATGTTGCCCGTGCTCATTTCTGTAGCCTACAGTCGCCATGACAGCTGTGGGTCAGAGGTTAATGAAATTTCCTCGACATAATTGGGGGCTTAAAACAACTTTCTAATTTCTTTTGAGAGAGAAGTTTACCCGTGATCATTTCTTAACATATTTAATGATTAATACATTAATGACAGAAAATCAATTAAATAAATATCATGATGATGATGATGGTTTTAAAAATGGTATGAAACACAGTTTTTTTCCATTCTCCCATTCTTAACTGGTTTTGTGAGGACACGACAAAATTTACCTGTTAATTGAACGAAAGAGCTGCTGATATTTTATATGGTTACTGGGAACCAATATATACTTACTGGGTCTTGGTTTTAAGTTACCACATTAGCGGCGCCACGTGGCCCCGTATTACCTGTGAAAATACACTTCAACTGACGACACAAAAGAGTTTTTACGAAAACAAGTGAATAATCGATGTCCCCGTCTTGCTTGAGTGGGTAATTGAAATATTGACCTCCTTATCGGGTCCTTGCTCGGGCAATTTTTTTTAAATCTTAAAACCAAAATTGAATGAAATGTTTTTGTTTTTGTTTTTGTTGTCCCCATAAAAAGACCAATGCAACAAAACTGAAAATTACTCGGTGTAATAACCCGATTAAATAAATAATTCATCTTGTGTACAGTGTGTTTAAAATGTACCCACATGTGGGAAATAGGTCTACGTCACAGATTTCACGGTAATTGGTGTAATAAAAAGAAATAACATTTAAAATATTATAAAATAATGAACAACGCACACGCCCCCAATCTGCTAAATATTAACTTGGACGAATAAAACGCTTTATTAAAACAAGTTTTGCAGTGAACTGTTTTAAATGTTATCACGAACATCAAGTCATTAAATAACTAAAAGTACCAGTACACAAACAATCCCACATATATCTAACCTGATTTAAACTGTGCCCGTTACGTGACCTCAATTTAAGTCACGTTTACTAAAATGCAAATCTTGGCAAGTAATGCTTCTTTGTTTGGTTGCTTCTTTGTTTGATCTCTTGTTCCACAAAGCGTTTCCTGTTACATATAAATATATTTATTCCACACATTTCCTTTACTTATAGATGAGTAAAATTATTCCATTTGAACAAAGCAAGATATCTGCTTTGTCACACCACTCGGTTTAAAGGTGCGTGTTATCCGTTATTGGAGATAATTCTATAATCCCTCGAGAAACTTGCTTTTCTATAAAAGGAAAGGGGTATTCCGGTCATGTGACCAACATCACATGGGATTCCCTCCTCGACAACGAGATTCGTGAATGAATTACATCACTGACACGGATCCACGCTCAACAAAGACCTCAAATTCAGGAAACGTGTGACGTGCGCCGTATAAAAGGGATCGGTAAAACCGTGTCATCTCAGAGGCGGCCGAGTACGTGGAGCACAGAGTGCTGTCGATGGAATGCCGCGTACACATGACGGTGGATGATCGTAAAATCATGCTGGTGAGTAGCGGTTTCACGTTTACTGCGTAGTTTGGAGACACCTGTCCCGCCTGTCCTCTGTGTTTATATTTTTTGGAAAGAATGAAAGGTTCAAGTTTTTGACAATTAAGTGTATTAATTTTCACGGCTTTTATAAAAAAAAGGCTGGTTTTAAAGTCAGTGACATTGTTGGCAACGACCCAAATCAACTGAAATCAGCTGATGCTCTGTAGGAGCAAAATTTGGCTAGAGTTCAAATATTCCTCAGCTTAATGTTTTTAAACGATAATGAAAACAAACTTTTTCACACCAAGTTTTTTTTTTAAAAAAAGGAAGTGTAGTACTTCCTGGGACAGCACGTGTGTCTTCAATCTCAAACCGGATATATTTTGATCAAGCTGAAAGGTGTGTTCTGTTATTTATATCCATAAAATAAATAAAAGAATACGTCAATTTGCACTTAAAAGTACGAGTTCTTATAGTGTTTTGTTCACTCAAGTATACACAAGCCTTACCCAGAATCGTGATATTAGAATGTGTTATGTGCCTGATCATGCCTTTAGTTAATACATTTATTTTGGCATATTGGCCAATTTATTTATTTATTTATTTATTTATTTATTTATTTATTTATTTAACAAACAGAATGTACACATTTATACTCATTTCAGCCATAAGATAGTGAACAGGGGCATAGAGAACACTCTTAGTTTAATTTTAATTTGAAATAACATTTTTTAAAACTAGAACTAGTTGAGATGCCGTGGTTTTGTACTTGATCTAAAAAAAAATAACTACCACCTTCTTCTGCAGGTACCGACACCTGGCCGCCTCCCAAATATAGCTGCACAAGAGCCCCAGTGGTCTCCCCTCTATATTTCTAGAGTTGCTACCTCATCATGCACACCATATCACTGCCAAGAGGGGATTCCATGATGTCGGTACCAGCAACCTTCTCATCACTGTGCCATGAAACAGATATAGGGATGCTTTTTTAAAGGTATGATGATTTCATGTAGTTCTGTTTGATGTAATGGGGTGATGTGACGTCACAATCAAGATGGACGTGAAATCCGAATGTCAAGTGCCAATTGCCAGTCCAACATGGGCTTCCATCTAGTCAAAGCTAAAGTCTCAGGGAAAAGGTATATCTTTGTCAGCTAAAGCGTCATCACCCCGCATCTTACAGAAGATTGTAAGGAATGCACATTCTTAGTGCAGGCCCCAGACACCCAAGCGTCTGGTGGAAATGTCCGGTGAAGAGTCTCAGAGGAACTCAGGGTAACAGACAACAGCAGGGTACGGAAGGATGAGCCTGAAGAGGGTGTCATATGTTTCTGTAGCTCTTCCCCTTTATTACAGATTCTAGTATGATACAATGAATAGTCAGTTGCTTCCATCATACATGTTACTGTTGACCAGTGGAAGAGCCGCTGATGTTAACTATGTGTAATGTCTTCCAACGAAATAACTTTTGCACAGAAAGAAGGCCACTGCCATTAACTTTTTATGCCTCATGATAACTGCTCTAACCTCTGCCTTCTGATCTCATTCTCCAAGCTCAGAATGAGGGTGATTGGGAAGTTGAACAATAGGCGGTCTCCTGGGACTGGTCTTTCCAGAGAGACGTATGAAGATGCCGGGGGTCACTCGGTGCATTTTAATCACTCTTAGCTCAGGGGAGCTGTAAACAAAGAAACTTACAATCACAAGGTGCTCACTAAGGATGAATCACGTATTTACTACTATGAATCTCAGCTAGTCAGCTCTCCACTTCATTATTGGTCTACCAGAACGAAAGCTGTTCCTGACCACGAAACCCACCCACTGCATCCAATCTTCTCCATCTCATACTCCTGGGAATAGAAACATTGCATAATATGGTAATCAAAGTCTAGACCTCCGTGAACAGCTTTTGCAGTTCTTAATTATGAAGTAAGGATGAGACATTTATTAATCAATACTCAAGTAATCATAGCGGTGATCACTCAAGCGCAGTATTACTCACCTGCAGTTAGAGTATTCTGTATAGCAATATAGTCTTCAAGGTAGCTGCTTTAATGGCTAATTACCAAAGTGGTGCATAGGACAAGACCTAAACCAACCAAAGACTAACGCAAACCAAAGACCTACATCAACCAGCAACCTAAACTATCCAAAGATCTAAACCAACGAAAGATGTGACCTTCAAAAAAGTGGTCAAAACAAAACTTTATTACAGGATTTGAAGAAGAAAAAATTAAGTCGAAAAGAACAAAGAAAGAAAAAAAAAAGACTGAAATAAACATTGAAGAAATAAAGAAAAATGAAAAAAGTCCTGATTTGTCACCTAACTACAAGGACATTAACAACAAAGAAAGAATTTACAACATGCTTCCGATCTCAGCATAAATCCTAGCTGCATTTATTTTAATCAAAAGAAAAAAAGAGAAAAAAAGAAGAAAAAAGGAAGAAATGATATAATTTATGAGAAAACCATTGTTATCACAACAAATGCTCTTTCTCACTGATATACCAGCATTCCATGTATTGCAAATGTGATCATGCCATTAACATTTATTTCTGGTACTATTAATGCATACCTTTTTGGTCTGTAGTTGATGCATTATTTATGAAATAAGCAACTAACAAAGGTGATCCATCATTTCTGCATGGCAACCAGGTCATAAGTAGGAGAAACAAAGACAATTTACAAACAAAAGAAACTCATTAATGTTTTCAGTTTGAAGATGTTCTGTTATTTTTCTTTGTTTTACTATTCTGTAATATCATTCAGTATTAGTATTTTGATGTTTGTAGACAAACTGTTTTTGCATCTTTGTCATGTTCCTTGATGTTTAAGAAAAGTAGAAGTAGAGTAGAATATGTCAGTCATTCGATTCAGTAAGGAAGGTAAAGCAATGTGAGATGCTGAGAGAGGCACTATCTTTTTTCTCATGATAGAAACAGAAAAAAAACAAAAACTGTCAATTTAGAATATATCGAGTGTCAATTTCACCATGGGAAATCAAGACAAAAGAACAAGAAGTAGAGACATCAAATATATGCCGTTATCTCAGTTATCACACAAGGCAATGTTAACAGGATCGTAAATGTCAACAAGACATGACAAGACAGCCCCCTTTCTTTTTTAATGACAGTGAAAATATAAGTCGAGTAGTTAAAAAGCATGACGATTATGAAAGCCTTCAGAAACAGAGAAAGGAGACACTACATTTATCAGATGATTTAGATACTCTACAGGGATAGAGGCCAGTAGGACTGTATAGCAGTATCACTACCTATAAACAAAGGATACCTTATCTGTACTCTGCTTAAATTAATAACTTTGGCACAAAAACAACAAATCCAAGGACAAGTGTTATAGATAACATTTGAGGGTCATTCACTCTGTATTGACACAAAAAGTGAAGATAACCATAAATTTTTCACAGAAATGGGACAATTGATGTGAATCCATAGAGGACTGCAGTATTAAGAGAGGGGTTTCTCTCTTACAGAAGATGACTTTGTCGATTGCGTTTCACCTTCTTTGGGCGTGATAATCGCAGCTTTCCATGTTTCACCTCAACTCATTGTCCAGAGGTAGTTGGACCTGTGCCAACAATGGACTTATGGTCAACATTCAGTGAACCAGTCATTTCCCAGAGCCCATTAGAACTTTACTAAGAGGATTGACTCAGACTGCCTAGTTAATCATACTACGCTCCATCAATCACTCGCTCAAGCTTCTGTTTGGCTTTGTTGGTTTCTTTTCTTCAATAATGATCTCACAGTTAGTAATGATTCTGATGTATCCTCAGTTACTGACACTGAAAGTATCTGCATTTGCCAATTCTTTTTGGGTCAGTGAGCAATCATTCTCTTTAATCTTGTCAACATTTGTTGCTGGAAAGATCATGAATGCAGTAGAAAATTAAGGTTTGATGACTATGTTGTAAGAGTCATCTTAGGCAAAGTTTGTATTGTATTAATACTGACTCCAATCCAGCATTTACCAAAGACAGTATTATTCCAAAGATCTTATTCATTTCAAGAAAATATTGAATCTTATGGTTCTTTCAAGAAAATATTGAATATTATGAGTAGTTAAGAGAATTTACAGTTAGAAATCTAGTGAAATAGCAGTGTACTTCTGTTCTTTGATAGACCAGCAAAGAATAATGTCATAATGAAGTGGGGACAATCGATCAATTAGAATAAAGCATAATAAGCGAAATATGGAACAAAAACAAGAAGAAAAACAGAAAGATGAATTGAACAGTGGGTGATAATAGCTAAAGTAACTTGTAGATTGTGCAATAATGACAAAGACATGTCAAAGAAAAAAGTATGAAGAAGAGTGTGCAATATTGCCAAATTGAAAAAAAAGAGAGAGAACCAGCATGAGTCGAGGAAAGTGGTGGACTTTCTCTACTTCCAGACAGTTTTCAGCTATTTCTCAATTTTCATCCCAGACAGAATTGTACCTGTAATACTCAAGGACATTGCCTTGCCAAAAGACTAACTGATGGGCAATAAGACTGTGGTGTTGACCTTTCTCAACAGGAACAATTAATCCAAGTACAACTTGAACCAGAAGAGACAGTGGTGATAAGAGAAATAGGACTCTGCTGCCAAATTGGACTGCTACCAATACTTTGTCCTTGCTGCAAGTTGCAAAGAAAAATTGTAAACTGAGAAAGAAGAGGTGTTTAGGTAAGAAAGTTGTCCCTCGCATTCAGTAGTTCAGATGATGGTGATGATGATGAAATGGATATGCTGTAGAGTATTTAGAGGATGGATTTATTTATAACAAATGTTTAGATGAATATGTTTTGGCCAGTATTGATGTGTTTTTTTTATTTTATGAAAAAATGCTAAAAGTATTCTTTAAGTACAGTAGTTAAGAATTAAAAGAAATGTGTTGAAATTGAAATGTCACCATTTACAAATTCCATCTGCATTTTATGAGATATGATAAGGAAAATTATAAAAAACCTTACAATAAGACCATAAGGTTAAGACATGGCTCTTGACAGATTACACTCCAATTAGTGTTAAGAACAAACCCCATTTCTTAAGGACATCCTTTTCCACTTGGCTTGTTGCATTAGATGTTGAATTTGAGCATTTACTATTGACAGTGAAGCAGAGTCATCTAAGGCTATAGTGCCTTTTTATAGCAGCTACTGTGAGGAGAAAGTGATGTTATCAGTTCAGTTAACTGAGGTAAAGTCAGGACAGGTTGGTTATATTCACAATACAGTGCCCCTACCATAAGATATGGAGCCACGGCACTGTATAAATCAATAATGGCAGGTCATGTGGGTTGATGCTCATGGAAAAACTCCATCATAGTATTAATGCCAAGAAGCAGTATAATCAATTGGAATTGGCAGTAGTGATGAAAGGTGTCTGTTTAGATCATGTCCCTACAGGGTCATGATCAAGTAATGGCAGTCTCAGTAGAAATCCAGTAAATAGGCAGTTCATTGATCTTTGCCTTGTTAAGGATCATGTACAAAATCCTGTGAAATGCCCTGGATGCCGTGAAGAACCTGCCTGTCCTGACACACCACTTGAATGCAACAAGTTGAGATGAAAAAAGTCATTATTTTAGTGTCCTTAACAACTGAAAGGGCCTCTTAACCATTGGTGTTCAGACATGGCCTGTAGTAATGGTTTTGAAAAAAAATTATCAGCACTTTTCCTTATTGATAATACATGCAGCCTGTATCAGATTGTGTTCCAGTATGAAAATGTTATTGTAAATGTTTTAGTTTATGTGCTCTCATATGTGCTGATGGAGTTTGGAATTGGTAAAGTTCTGATGTTGTGTCCTCATATGTGTCCTTGTCTTTTGTGTATGACACTGTCTGTGAAGTCATTGGGAAAAGCACAATGACATGTTTGATCAACCATAGGAACATGGAATAATATGGTATTGAAATAAGTTAACTTGGACTTTGTCTCTTTTATAATGAAATATCAAAGCCAAATTGTAATGTATTCGTTGTGTACTCTGTGTCCTCCCATCATGCCTTCAGACAATGTCGTACAACTATGCATTAGTTAATGTAATTTGTATACATTTGTGCAAGTTCATGTAAGTTTAATTGATTGCAATTGGTTAGATCCGTTGTTAACTGTTACGTTTTAATTGGAGCAGTGTGGCAGTGGGCGGGAGAGGGAGAGAGGGGGAGGAGGCAAAATTAACCGGGTACTTTTCAGTGAAGGACATCTATTTTATGCACATGTATATTCATTCAAACCACACTCTTTTTACTGAAAATACATCTTGACACCACAGCCATGCCTCTGACGCAAATCTGATGCTTTTAATTTAAACAATGTATATTTTGTATCCATTAAGCACCAGCTGGCATATTAACCGCACACTCAAAATGACATGGAAATTGTTTTCACTGACGTAAACCCTGGCTTTGGCAACAGAGTACAGTGGTCTGCTCCTGCCTGGTGCTACTTCTCTACTTAATTAAACCACTCATAATTATGATCAAAACTCCATTACCCAATGCCAAGATGTATGGACCTTTCATGCCACTTACCAGGACAAAAAAAAATCCATCATGATATTGGAATCCTTAATTAGTCTGAAATCCTTAAGGTATGTGATTTGGTGGCTGCGGGGTTTATTAAGGACAGCTCGTGAGTTTAGTCATATGTGACCATTGATCTTGGTATGTTACACAACACAATGGGACAGTCGTCCAAGGCAGTGTCTGTGTATCTTGGTGCAGTTCATTCGACCAAGACTGCTCACAAGACTTTTTACATGCCATTGTTCTTTTTTTCTGACTTTCACAAATGAGGTTATTCAGTACTCCCCTTTTTATGAACAGTGAGCTGATTCCTTAAAGAACTATAGCAACTAAGCAACTTGTAGATTTATGTCATGATGGTTATGTTCATGTGTACTTGTGGTCAGGATATTTTACCGTTAACTTTTGTCATTGAACCCAACCTTAATTGGGACAGCAAGAGCATAGAGTACATTACTGCACAGTTAAATATATTCTATTTAATTTTCCTTGTCATTGGTGATCATGAGGGATTGGGCACCTAGGTGTGCCGAGGTGAGAAGAACTGGTGTCAGTTTGGGGGGGGGGGGAGAGAGACAGAATGGTGGGAGAAAACCTGGAGTTATCGACATAACTGTTCTACAGCCTTCTTGTGTCCGAAAATTGATCAATACTCCCCGAGATGAGTAAGCTGTTGTGTCAATAGTTGTATGTCCCTTGTGTACCTGTCCCCAGATCTGGTCTTTCTGATCTGGATGCTTTTATCTCTGGTGCTGGCATTATTTCCACTCCCAGGTCCCCATATTACTAATAGTGTGGGTCATGCAGTTTATTATAGGTGGATATGTACCTATTGATTACCTGGACCTTGAACTTCTTACTGGATTGTCGCACCTTTCATGTTTGTTTGTGCATGGAAATTAATATGAGTCATTCTAAAAGGGAAGGATATAGGTGCACTCTAAATATTATGCAGATTTATGTTGACTTTTGGATTATGATTTTTAGTGTCATGTACTTGGGCTAACTTGACCTTTTTTTCCTAAAGTTTATTTTAGTAGAACTCTATTTTTAGAGGCCTCCGTAAATTCACCTACTAACGACTATTGTAACCTTATTTCTTTGTTATTCAAAGTGAGCTGAAATCGCACAGTGTTTGGCATGTTTTGGTAAAAGTACTTTTCAGGAATTAAAAGTAGGCCATTGACCTTCAGTGAAGCCAGAGAGTTGGTGTATTGCGCATCAGATAAATCAGCTTGCCTGCTAGTACTGTGCAAGAAACAAACAGCACTTGTGTTGTTTATCTACAGTACATTGCTGCGGGTTGCCACCTTTGTTTACTTGGCCTTATTTTCTCCCATCTTTGAAATCTTATAAATCAAATAAATAAACAAATTGCACTAAAGTTAACTTGGTTGAATAAGGTTCACGTGT